GTCCTTAATATTTTGTTGTTGTCATTCTTCTTCTCGTACAGTAGTTTTAGAGGTTCAAACAGTACGTCCGATACAGTGTTTATTTGCTCATTTATTATTTGTCCTTTGAAGGTCTTCTGTTTATATATTTCCATATTTTCTAATATATTCAATCTTTGTCCTTTATGTTGTACACGGAGAAGTTCTGTTTTTGTCCAATCTTCATTGGTGTGCCTTTATTTTTGATCATGTGATTCGCGAAGTTCGACTCTATTGCAGCCTCTGGTTTTCGCTTTTTCTTATTATAATCCCTTATGTGTTCTCGCGTTTATTATTTCCGTGACAGCTTCTCTTTTCATTTTTCCCATCAGTATTTCTTGTACGGTCCACTATCGTGCCAAATTCTTTCATAAGTACGACATTCAGACATCATTTAAAACAAGGAACACAGTGGGAAATATATTGAAAGAGAAAATAAACAGGGTGTTTACAAGTTAACCTGCGAGTGCCGACACAGTTACATCGGACACACAGGGCGAAATATAAGAACAAGGTATTGAGAACACATAAGGGATTATAATAAGAAAAAGCGAAAACCAGAGGCTGCAATAGAGTCGAACTTCGCGAATCACATGATCAAAAATAAAGGCACACCAATGAAGATTGGACAAATAACAGAACTTCTCCGTGTACAACATAAAGGACAAAGATTGAATATATTAGAAAATATGGAAATATATAAACAGAAGACCTTCAAAGGACAAATAATAAATGAGCAAATAAATACTGCATCGGACGTACTGTTTGAACCTCTAAAACTACTGTACAAGAAGAAGAATGACAACAAGAAAATATTAAGGACNTCTACCTATTGAGCACCGTAAACACTGCAAAATTAAAAAGACGTACCTAACAGAAGAAAGAGGTAGTTAACAAGGAGTATAAATACGAGCAACCAACAAAAATTATGCAGAACGAAAAATGACACTGAAGATGGCACAACGCCTAAACCGGTTTGTCTCCAAACCAAATTTGACAAGGGATGACGGAAATTCGTTCCAAAATACTTAATATTTCATCATATTTTTATGTATCGCGTGTCATTGCGGAATTACTTTTTGGCTGCTGTGAGACGTATAATATAATTTTAAAAGTTTTAAAAAGGGGTTTGCTGGATAAAACTACAATTTAAAATTAAATATTAAAGCTGTGGATATACTACGCTTTTAAGCATACAATGTTTTTAACATCGTCTAACCTGCGCCTTGCGCTGCTATGTGGGACTTTATAAATAGGAAATTTCATCAGTTAATTAGCAACGGCAAGCCTAAGTCAGGAGCACTACTTAATGAAATTAAAAGTAAGTACATGTATGATTTTTCACTGAAACTGCTTTTCAGACACCTTATAATTTTCCTTTAATTTATAGTCGTCAAGGAAACAAACATCGATAAAGTTGCGAATCTGTCAAGTACCTCTACATAAAAATATTATAATGTTTAAGAAAGTAAAACCAGTATTTTGTATATTTTTCATATTTTATATCTTATTATAATTAGTTTTGTTGAGTCTCATAGTTTAACACTTTGCATCAATATACTTTATTGAATGAAGCCTAAGCAGTAAAAAAATATGTAGTATAAAGGGTGAACACTAGGGCGGGTCGAAAATCTAATTTTTTCAAATCCCTTGGTAATAGCGTAAATATATTGTATCATGAAATCAACAACAAGCCTGCAAAATATTAGCCTTTTATTTTAATAGTAAGAGCCCGCGCATCGACCGCCAAGTGACAGCACACTAGTCGAGTAAGATCAATTTTTGTTGAAAATTCCGGGTTTAGCAAAAAGGTTTGGTGCATATTATTAGATAATGAATCCGTTAGCGCCAAAGATAAAGTCAAATATCATTTCTCGCAGCCCTTTAACTTATCGTTAATGTCAAATTTATCTTTTTTCAATAATATTTGAATTGTTCTCTTGATAATTCCACTGGCCTATAGTCACAAGATGTAATGAACATCATTAATATTGCTGGCATGCATTTAGGTCGCTGGTTCCAAATAGTCTAATCTTCTTTTAATATTAGCTATAGTTTGCGAATTTCTGCAAATTTAGGAACAATTTCGGTAGCTCGAATAGAAAAGCCATTATTTTCCATCATCGTGGAAAAATTTTGTTTATGCAAATGAGTATGGAAACACTGAAAAGGCACAACTTCTAGAAACAGTAATTAGTTCACTTATGTTTATGCATACAATATAAAAATTGCAAATATAGGAAAATGCCAAAAAAATTTGTTTAAAATTTTTTTTTTTTTAAATAATTTGTTTATAATCTGAACTATTTTCATCATATTATTATCATAAATCAGTAACGGTAAGTCTCGCCTTCAATTTCGTAATTATTACGTACCGATCGAGTAACCTTTACCAAAGTTATATCGAAAAACTTAAGTGGATCTCCAGTTTTTTTCTAAAAAAAATCTCTTCATTTGTAGAAATAACTTTTAATTAAAAGAACCGGATTACAGAAAAGTGTGCCAAGGAGTGACTTTTTTCGTTCAAGCTGAATGCAATGCAATATCGTCCAATTGGAGAGTCATCAAAAGGATTTCCCAGGATATGTGAAGGATTATTGTATTTACCTACAGTCACTTTTTCACATAATGGAATTAACTAAAATATTTATATCTAAACACTTATTGCACGTCCCCTACTTTCATATAACGGCAAATTTAGAAACCGCTAAAATGTGCTTCTTCGGTGACTAATGAAACCATTCCGCTCCGATTTTCAAGACTGCATAAATGGACTTAAAATGGGAATTTCTTACCCTAATTGTATTTTGTTAATGTATGTAAATACTAATTTGCTTGAGACTACTATTAACTTATCAACCGGTTTCTAACCTTGGACAATACATGTTTGACTACATTCAGGACGATCTTGAAAACTGACCAAATCGGCGTGACCAAGTCCATGGTCCTTTTAAGATTATATAAACATTCGAAAACTTTAAAACGTTTGAAATAAATGTCGTCTCACTTTTTCGTATTTTTCACTTGGTTGCTGAAGTAATGAAGAATTGAAAATTCATAAGGGAAAATTATACTTTTGTAAGTCATATCTTAATATTTTAAAAACTTGTGGACTTATTGAAAAAAGATAAATGGTCGTGAGGTAGTAAATTTAATACCCCTTAATTTGATATATCATCCTGTTTATAGCAATTAACGCATTCCATAGATATTACAAGCCAAAGTTTCATTTTCGAAATTTTTTTTTTGAAAATTCATAAGGGAAAATTATACTTTTGTAAGTCTTATCTTAATATTTTAAAAACTTGCAGACTTATTGAAAAAAGATAAATGGAGGTGAGGTAGTAAATTTAATACCCCTTAATTTGATATATCATCCTGTTTATAGCAATTAACGCATTCCATAGATATTACAAGCCAAAGTTTCATTTTCGAAATTCATAGACTTTGATTCAATTGCGCGGGCTAAATATAAGTTTTAAATTAATCTTTCGTGGCCAATAATAATTGGCTTAGACATAAGACATCATAATATTACTATTACACTACGATCAAATTTCTTTTATTTTCCCCCATACAAAATCGACCCAGCCTAGTGAACACACCAAAACTGCGACACTTAGAAATTACTACCAGAAACAAACTAGAAGGCTTTGAAATTATTTTTTTTTTTTGTATTATATAACTTGGAAGTTTAGATGTTATTAAAATGTTAAAATATTAGTTATTATTTGCTCCATATGCAAGTGATCGGTATTNACCATGTGGTTTTTGGAAATTTGGACTTCATTTTCAGCTTACAACTTTCATGGGCATCTTGACGACAGTATAAAAATCTTGACCTGCAATATATTTTGAATTTTTATAGCAGTAGGTTTCGCAGTCCATAACAATGCAGTTGTATTTTTTAATTAGAATTCACACAACTTCCGAATGCGGGATTTCGCTGTAACATTCTACTTTGCGCCTCGGTCTGGCGCTGTTTGAGCTGTAGAACATCTCAATGAAGCTTTCCGCTTTACCTTTTGTACGAAAAACTGCGATCTCCGTACGGATT